TGATGAGGACCGAATGAGTCAGTAACAAGGTCATCAAACGTAACGGGGAAGGGGGTGGGGAGAGAGATAGATTATCCATTACCTTCATTCTTTCTACAACCTTGCGCGAGTGGTCTTTTACCCGTGCCGACCATACATCGCGCAATACAGGGAGTCTTTTCAAAAGAATGAACGTCCAGGGAACACAGACGAGGCTCCCCGCTATCGGCCTTGACATCTCGAATGTTTCAAGAATTTGTGCCGCCTTTCCATCTTTGACCATGTCAAATGGTTTGCTGAACGCAACGTCACCGATGACGTCGAAACCGAAATAGTTCATCCACGGACCGATTTCGATGGGCTTGCCGTTTCGCGATCTCGCGATCAGTTGATTTATGAGGTCTGCGCAGTGGCCGAGTATTTTAGGCTCGTATGTGGTCAGAGCTGGAGGGGCACGTTTCGTTCAATCAGGATATATGTAAGCAGTTGTTTTTTCGAATTGAACTTGAAAAATTGGGTGAAAATAGTTGACTAACCCTTAATACCAAGTCCGCGATCCCAAATTCTCCGTCTTCTGGCATGATCACCTTTGTCGCGGAGCATCTGCAGAGATCTGAAGGGGTAATTTAGGTCATAGAATGGGCCTTTGACACAGACAGTGCCTGGGCCATGAATATCACGGATAGCATCTACATGGTTGATTGAGATTTCTCGAGGCCCTGGTGATATTGGAGTCAGAAATACGAAATCTAGATTTCAGTGACAAGCCTAACCAGGCAGTTGCCAAAACAGGGGAAGTCAGCTTTGGACGTACGAATGCGAACAAAATCCCCATGCTCCTCATGAAGTTGCTGTACCTTTACAGGAAATTTGAATTCAGGAACAGAGGCCTTGATGGACCAGAGTGCGGTCAATCTCCAAGCTAAAGGGCCAGGGAAATCCCTAAGAGGGTGGAGCCAACCGCGGTAGAGCCCGATGCTTCCGAAGAGCCCAGTCATGTAGCTGACCCAGAAAGCGGACACAAGCAACAATGTGCTGGGAATGGATAGCACCGTTAATGTAAGGGTCACAGCCGGGCTCAGTAGACCAATAGCGAAGGCGTAGAGCGCCGTCAGAGTGGGTGTATATCGTTCCCATTCGCCATGCTTAAAGATCAGAAGGTGGGAGATGATCCCCAGTAAGGTACCTGCTGTGCAAATGACTTGCAACATTGTATCCAATTCTGTTCCTTATACTGACAGTACTAGGATCTCCCGTGTTGAAGGGTTGGAGGGGTGGAGGATCACAACCAGTCTCCCCACCATAATATACATAGGATAGCTCCTGGAAGGTGTGCGCTCTGTTGGAAAGATTATGCAAGAGATTATAAGCAGCTAGTTAACTAACTAACTAGTCAATTGCAGGCGGGCTGATTCATCTGCCGTGGATCCTGAGTAGAGGAAGTTGCACGGGAGCGCGACTCTGTGGACTTGGACTGTTCAGGTTTAGAGGCATGTTGTTCAAGAAACTGAACATAAGACCTTCTGAAGGTTCAGAGCAAATGGTCACCATGTAACCTAATAGTTGACCAGACCGAGGGTTGGCGGAGGATGCTCAGACATGTTTGCCAAAATGCAATGGTGGAGCTGTGATTGGGTCATTCCATTTCCACATCCTGGCCTCTGGGGGTTGTTTTCTCCGTCGCTAGATGGGAATTGGATATTGAATGCGCCTGGGGGCCTGGCTTTTTCTCATGGCTGGCAAGCTAGAACTGCGTGAAGGATCTGACCATTACTTGGCCCTTATTATTCGTCTGTATCTAACTTCTTGTTTGGCCATAGCTTGTTTTCACCAAGAGTCCAAGTTGACAGGAAGGCCACGCCATGCAAGTAATGCCTTCGACCAAACCTGATCTGGGTGGGTTAAGTTATAACTCGTGTGATGGAGCTATTTGTGATGTGCTGTTGAAAGTCCCCAGGGAAGCAAATTGTTCCACACAGCAAACCACGTTCCACGAGTCAAGAAAGGGATGCACAATTCGCTGAGCATTTAAATGCAAACCGGTCGTTCAAGGAATGAAACTCCCAACCACAAAATCGGTTCTTCATTTGTGGGGGCATGATGACCACTGATCATCGGCCAGTATGGAAGAATTAATTGGTTCCCCAACTTTACCACAGTAGCAGCTGGGTTTTTTGCTTTGTTTTTGTTTTCGGGCGAAGCATGACAATCCATTCAACTTAGCGGCAAGCGATAAGTTGCCTTCGTGTCCAGAACCAACCAAGTTAGAGGCGCGGATTTCGGCTCGGGAGCTAATAGCTTCCTGGCCCTGCTCAGTGGAGCAATTTCGAGACAGGAACATCACATCTATGATCATTGG